AGTCTTAACTAACAAAAATGTAAAATATTTTAGAATTTATTTTAATTACATTAAGATAGTATTTTTATCTATTGGGGCCAATAAAAGATATTATTAAGGTAATATCTTGAGGTTTTTGGGGGTTTTTTTTACTCTTTTTAACATAGCTACCAGAAATTTTTAAAGTGCATTTAAGGCTTTACATTTTATTTCTGCTAGACAGCTCGGCCATAGCTCATTCTTGGTAAAGATAAGTGCACTTCATGCCCTGGTTTCCCATGATCTTCTCTGTCTCTTAGTTTTCATGTCAGCCCTGCTTTAAGAATTGTTATGAGGCGGGCCAAGGATTTAGCTCAGTGGTACTCCGTGCACATGCCTTGCAAGTGCAAAGTCCTGAGTTTGATCCCTGGTACCAAAAAAAAGAATGTTATGAGCCCCAGGCCTAAGAATTAAAAACAAAAACCCATCTAGGGACTGTAGGGATGTAACTCATTGGGCAAGTGCTTGCCTTGGGTGCGGGAGAAGCCGGTTCCATAAATCTTCAGCGTCACTAACAAACAACATTTAGGATGTAGAAATCTTATTTCTTGAGCCTTTCAGTAGTAATGGAAACATAACTCATTTATATTGAATTTTGAGAAAATAATGGCAACTGTGAGACCTATTAAATCTCATTTCCAACAAATGAGAAAAATTTACTTCACACTTACAGTATTTGGATGATAATGTTGGGCAGTATCCCCTAAATTTTGGTAGTTGTGACTTGTTTGAGAAACTAATTTCATTCTACCATATGAGAATTGTCTCTAACTCTGGGGGCATTTTAAATTATATTTGTCTTATCTGAAATTTGGATTTAAATTGTTTTTAGATTTTCAGAGTAAATACAAGTGAAACTAATAAATTTTCCTTTTTAAAAATACATTTGAGGGCCAGGGATTTAGCTCAGTGGTTCTGGCGCCTGCCTCATGAGTGCAAGGTCCTGAGTTCAATCCCCAGTACTCCCCCGCCAAAAAAAAACTATAGCCAGGTGTGGTGACACACAACTGGAATCCTAGCATTTGGGAGGCTGAGGCAGGAGAATTGCTGTAAGTTTCAGGCCAGCCTACACTACATAGTGAGTTCGAGACCAGCCTGAACTACATATCAAAACCCTGTCTCAAAAAAAAAAAGTATTTGTGTAAAAAGTTTCTGCTCTGACATCATCAAAAGTCATAAATGGCACTCTATATTTAGCATTTACTGTGTAGCAGGCATTTATATATTATAGTAATTCATTAAATTCACACATGAACCCTGTGAGGTAGGTAATATTATAATCCTTAGCTGACAGAGAATGAATCTGAGGTATGAATTGGTTGATTAACTAGCCCAAGGTCAGAGAGCTAAGATTTTTTTGTGTGTGTAAGACAGGATCTTACTATGCAGTTCAACCTGGCCTTGAACTCACTATGCAGCCCAGGCTAGCCTGGAACTCACAGCAGTCCTCTTGCTCAGCCTCCTGAGTGCTGGGATTACAAGTGTGTGCCATTACACCTGGTTCTAGAGCTATTAAGTTGTAACGGGGTAAATAGCAGTATATTTTATACTTGGTTTATAAATGGTAATAACTCTTGTTTTTTTAGTTTTAAACCATTAGAATGTAAGCTCTAATAGGGCAGGGACTTTTCACTAACACTTGAGATTATTTTCTGGCCTGTGGTAGAACTGGCTTTAACTTAATTTTCTTTTTTCATGCTGAGGATTGAACCTAGGGTCTCATGGATGCCAAATTTGAGCTGTACTACTTAATCCCCCAGCCTAAAACTGCTTAAAATTCTGTATTGTTTTCCATGAGCAATAATGTACATTCTTTTACCTTGTCCAGATTATCTTCTGCATGACTTATTTGTTGTATCTTTTTTTTTTTTTTCTGTACTGGGGATCAAACCATTATATTGAGCTATATTCCTAGCCCCCTCTTTTGTTTTGATTGGGGTCTTGCTAAATTGCCATAACTGGGCTCAGACTCAGAGTCTTCTTGTCTCTGCCTCTTGAGTAGCTGGGATTGCAGGTGTGTGTCACTGTACTCAGCTGTTTGTTTTATATTAATAAAATAGTTTATGTAAAAATTGTTAGGAGTGGGCTGGGGATTTAGCTCAGTGGTTCCAGCACCTATCTCGCAAGCGCAAGGTCCCAAGTTTGATCCCTAGTACCCCCCCAAAAAATTGTTAGGAGATACAACTTCTATTTGTCTCTTGCTTTTATAAAGTAGAAATGCTTTGGTGACCCAGAGGAATGTCAGAATAGAAATAGACAAGACTAGTAGAATTCCTGCTGTGTGCTTATCTGATTTAAAAGAAAGTCTAGGAAAAATCCAGCTTTGTAAGTTATCTTCACAAAAAATGCCATAATAACACAGTGCTTCAAGGGTTCACCCAAAAACTTTAGCCTTCTTGGTTTGTTGTGGTCATTAAAATGAATAATACGTTGTTTTGTTTATTTTTGGAAATTACTTTCCATTCCTAAGACTTGGCAGTAGAACTGTGAAATAAGTTTATAAAACAGTGCTTTGAAATCAAAGGTTTTGCAGTGATGTTAGGCAAAGGCTATGTAACTTCTGTATAGGATACTCATTTAATTCTGAGAAGAGTATGCTCAGTAATAAAACTGATTAGATGTTAAGTGACATACATGAATTAATGCCACAGTTAAGTGACAGTATCTCATTTGTTACCCAGGCTAGGCTCCAAACTGCCAGTGCTGGGATATGTCCTGTACTGGAACCTGGCTGTTCTGATTCTGTCAGTCTGTCTGCTTTGCTTTCCTTTGCTTTGCTTTGCTTTCTTGGTTCTGAGTCTTAAGCTGGTGTTTTAAGTTAGTTTGTGGAGGCAGTAGCATTGGAGTTTTAGATGATTAGATTAAAATGTAATTGTTGCTTGATGGAAAAATTGAGCTGTGAAAAAATCCTTGTGCTTAACTTGCCATTTTTTTCTTTTCTTGTTATTTGTGGATAATGACCCTACTTTAGACCACTGTAGACTGCTTTTATAGTAATGGGATTATCATAGTGATGGTATTTTCTTGAGCTGATTCAGTAAATTTTTCATACACTAATAGTCTTCTTTCTCTAGAGTGAAAAGGATTGCTTTTTCTCTGAATTATAATTTGGGGGTGATTTAGCCAGAAATAGGACAAAGCTATAAAAATTAATAATGGCATTTTACTAATGAGAAATTTGCAGCAGTTCCAAAAAGCTTTTCTAATTTTTATCTTTACTGCCCCAAAATTTTAATCTAATCAGATCCTTAGTATCCTAACATTAGGATTACTTACTGCTTTTTAGAAGAGAGATTGTGGGAAGCTGTAAAGATATTTGAAAGCAATGATGATGTGCAAGATCTAATTATACTTATTTTATTTAGAAATCTTGGGGTGATACAGAAGTCTGCAGGTAATACTTATGACTTCTTAGATTAGTAAAGGTTGGATGTCTCCAGTTTATTCTTTTTTTCTTTCTTTTGATTTTTTTGAGGCAGGGACTCACTATATAGCTCGGGTTGTGCTTGAACTCGATATTTAGCCCATGCTGGCCTCCAATTTGTGGTGATCTTCCTACCTCAGCCACTGGAGTGCTGAGATTACAGGCATGCTCCACCAAGCCTGGCCCCAGAAGTCAAAGATTTTAAAACTTTTATTTTTACATTGTATTCAGCCAGTAAGCAAGTTTTTAAAAGGTGGTACTAAAAGCAAAAATATTTACTATTGAAGTTTTGTATAAGGTATTCTTTGATAAAGGTAGATGTTTTGTGTCAGTTGAGTATAGAAATATGGACTCCTAGGGGCTGGGGATTTAGCTCAGTGGTTTTGCCGCCTGCTGAGCAAGCCCAAGGACCCGGATCCCTGGTACCAAAAACAACAATAACAACAACAAAAAAGAAATACGGAATCCTAACAAAAAGTGAGAACATAATTTATGCTACTGATTAAGGTTTAAGTTGAAAGAGGATTTATATTAGGAATGTAGACGATACATCAGTAAAATACTAGTATAGGTATGGAAGCCTAAGTGGAAATCCCATTTGCAGACAGGTAGGTTCTTGGGAATGGTAAGGTGAATTCCATTGGATTTTTGTTGTTGTTGTTGTTGTTGTTGTTTAAGGTCACCAAGACTCTTGAGAACGGACTGTCATAGGATTAAAAGGCTAAAAGGGATATTAAAAATATCCAAGTACTGGGCTGGGATTTAGCTCAGTGGTTGTGGCGCCTGCCTTGCAAGTGCAAGGTCCAGAGTTTGATCCCCCATACTAAAAACAAACAAATATGCAGGTACTTTAAGAAGCATTAAACACAAATTGAGTAGATGTAGATAACGGTAAAATATGTTTGAGAAAGTGGGTGGTTGGCATTGAAGTTATCTAAGCAGAGAAAGAAGACATTAGAAGATTCTCGTCAGGCCTTTGGGCTTTGGGAAGTACCATGGAAGGGAAAATTATTTAGATCTCCTTAGAGCTTTCACCATCCTAGTGGGTGATGTAGTATTTCAATCAGTTAGCCTAAACATCTAGAGTTATGATTCAAGTGAAAGCTTATTGCCTAAATGGCTTTTAATGATCCTGAATTTTCTGTTGATACGGACAGAACCCAAGTAGCCTGGGGATATAGTTAGTATCTTACCGTTCAACTACAGATGAGTAGGTTTATCACTTTGTCTTAACATACATGGAGTTGACAAACATAAAATGAGTTATCTACTTACTATTTTTGTCTAATACAACATTCCTATAAAGTCACCAAGCCATTGTACCCTTCACAGTGGTATTATTTCATTAAAAACATTGAAGTTAAAATTTCTTAGTTTCTTTATTTTAAATATTCTTAAAACTGGCTAATTAAGTCCTAGAAAAACAGACTATAATTTTTCTAGAGCACATAATCAAATGTATGAAACAGGGGGCCTCAAAAATTTTATTAGGTAATATTTTAAAATAGGCTTTTTTCTTGCTGACATAACTAACATTTATTTTCTGTTTATTTTTAAGACGAGCAAAAATCAAATTAAAGTAGATCTTGTAGATGAGAATTTTACAGAATTAAGAGGAGAAATAGCAGGACCTCCAGACACACCATATGAAGGCAAGTACTTTTTTCTGTATCAAAATATTGTGCGTATTAGAACTTGTCTGAAACATTAAGTCAGAATAATCCTGAGCATCTGTAAATTACATGCACGAAAACTTCATATTTGGCTTAAGATAAACAGCAATTTAAAAAAATATTATATTTAGACACTTACCTATTCTGATCTTACTGAATTTTAGCTAATATTTTTCTTTCCCCAAAACAGATACGGCAGAGCCGAGTTACAGACTATGTAGGTTAGAAATTTAACAATAAAATATAGAATGTTAAGTCTCTAACTTATACAGACTATAGACTCTCAATTAACCTTCATATGGTATTTTTAACAATCCTTGACTTAAATTTCTGACTGTTGTTTGTGTTTTTAAAGCTCCCTTCCTGTTTGTCTTATACCACTTCATTCACTCACATGTCTTCATACAGGCTGTAGTCCATATATTTAATTTTCTTAGTAAAGCTTTGAATGATCATTTTAAGACATATATTAGAGGAGGCAGCTTTGCTGAATTTCATGTTCACAAATTAAAAATCTGTAGCTACTTTACACCATGGAATTGAGGGTGAGATACAGAAAGAAGCTGTATAACTTTTAAATTTCTCATTATGCATAAATGAAAATTATTGTACATTTGGGTTTTATCACATAACCAAGGTTCTTGCATATAATAGGTACTCAAATATCAAATTTTTGTTTAATAGAAAACAAAAATATGTGGTAGCTCTTACTTATAAGAGTATTACATATATTTTCTCATTCACTCTTTACAACACATCTTATGAGGTAAGTATAGTTATTGTTTCATAGGTGAGGAAATTTAAGCTCAGAGTAGTTAAGTAACTATCTAGAGTCAAGCATCTAAGTGGCATAGCTGGGGTTTGAGTCCTGTTAAATAGCCTTTGACCTAAAAGCCAATGCTTTTAATCCTTTCTACTTTTGTGTAAACCAAGATTAAGTTAATATTGCAAGTGGTATTTGTAACTACTTTGGATGTAGTGGTTCTCTAGAATTACAGAATTGTAATGAATAGTTACCCAAAACCTTGCAGAAAAAAATCTAGTATCAATATTTTGTTTCCATTCAAAATTTTAAAACCCTAGAATGTCTTTAGCATGTCATCACCAATTGTTAAGTAATAAAATGTGTACTTTTTGCTTTATAGTTCATTAAGCCATTTCTAGATATTTAACTTTAAAAGAGTTTATTGAGTACCTCCTACATGCCAGGTCTGGTCTGGATGCTTTTATGGATGCCATTTAATTTTAGTCCTTGTGACAGTCCTTTAATATGGATGACACTACCAGTTACCCTTAAAAAATTAAACAGTTGTTCTTGAAGTATTTTTTAAGGTATTATTTTTAAAAGATAGTGGGGCAATAGCATTACCATTGAAGAGCTCGAAGTGCTTATTTCCGTTACCGTTTTTAAATAAAATAATATTTCGATAAGATTAGTGTTGATGTTTTCTGAGTATGTGCTTGATAGATTATCTTAAATTCTATTTTTTTAATAAAATTTTGGAGTATTTATTTTGTTTAGGAAGAGCACCGTTTAAGGACATAAATTTTTTTCTTTGAAATATGAACATAGTTAAAACATGGTGGTATTTATTGCAGGAATCTTGCTTGAGTCGTCGTCATCGTAAACCCAACCCAACACCACCACCCACCCCCAATCCCCCCCAGCATTGAACCCAGGGCCTCACACATGCTAGGCAAGCATTCTGTCACCAAGCTATGTCCTCAGCCATCTTGGGATTTTTGCTTTTCTAGTCTAAAACAAAAAATTTTTGTATGAAGTGTTAAACTGTAACTACTACTAAGTAATGACAAAGCCATTTTACATAGTTAAAAATAGATTAAAGCAGGGGATGGTGGCACACACCTGTAATCTCAGCACTTAGAAAGACTGAGATAGGACTGTAAGTTTGAGCTCGGCTTGGGCAATTTCATGACTTAGACCCTCTTAAAAATAAAGGACTGGGGGGTGGCACCAGGAATTTAGCTCAGTGGTGCTGCACCTGTCAAGCACAAGATCTTGAGTTTGAGTTCGATTCCCAGTTAGCACCCCCCCACCCCCCCAACAAATAAAGGACTGGTGGACTGGGAATGTAGCTGAGTGGCACAGTGCCTGCTTGGCAAGGGTGAGGCCCCTAGTTTCATTCCCGGTACCAAAAAATAAAAATAAAGGACTGGGATGTAGCTCAGTGCAGAGGCTCTGGGTTCACTCTCCCAATCCCTAGGCCCCACCTCTACCCTCACCCCCTAGTTCAAGAAGTAGCATTATGGATGGAAAGATTGTCACAATACCATATTACCTAACTCAGTTTTCTTAACTTTTTTTTTTTAATCTTGTGCCTAAACAACTCAGTGCCAATAAAACAGTCCAGGAACAGTTCTTAAGCCTGTCTTCCTAAAAATTTTTTTTCCCCCATTTTATAGAAACATTGTTTTTGTGTGTGTATGTTTTTAGCCTTTAAGGCACTGTGTAGCCCATGCTGGCCTTGAACTTGCAGCACTCCTCATGCCTCAGCCTCCTCAGTGCTGGGATCACAGGCGTGTGCCACCATGCCTGGCATAAACATTGTTGATAGTTCAGAAATTCTTATCTGTATTCTATTACCCCTTTGGATTAAATTAAATTGAAAGATTATAAATTTTTAATACTGAAAACTGTTTTTGAGCCAGCTGCAGCTGATGTACACTTGTAATCCTAGCTACTTGGGAGGCTGAGGCAAGAGGTTGGCTTGATCCCAGGTTTTCAGGATCAGCCTGGGTACAGTGAGATCTGTCTCACTATGCATACGTATTTTACAAACATCCTTTAGTAGTTTTACTCTGATCAAATACAGTCAGTGACATTTTTGGTCAGTGACAAACTTCTTGTACAATAGTGGTCCCTTTTAAGATATCATTCCCTAGTGACATTATAGCAGTCCTAGTTTGTGTCTATGATATTTGAACAAATGATAAGACAGCCTAATGATGCATTTCTCAGAACATATCCTGTCGTTAAGCAACATGTGAATGTGATGTTACCATTAATGCTACAGTGGTTATATATTGATAGTTGTCAGGGAATAATGCAAGATAGAACATATATGTAACATGGAGTAGAAATAAGATTTTGTGGACCCTAGGCCCAGCAGTATTTATATAATATCTCTGGGTTCTCATACTGTACCTAAGAGATTGTTTTGAATATTTAAGAAGGAAGAACAAGCCAGACGTGTTCCCAGCGCTCTAGGAGCCTGAGGCAGAAGGATCTCAAGTTCAAACCCAGCCTGAGCAACTTAACAGTTTAGTGATACCCTGTTTCAAGATAGAAATTAAAAGAATGGCTGAGGGTGTAGCTCGTTGCAAAGAGCCTGGGTTCAGTCCCTAATACTGGCCCCAAAAGGGGAAGAATTTTGTATGATAAGTTTTAAGTTTTGAGACAGGGTCACAGTAAGTTGCACAGGCAGGACTGGAACTTGTGATCCTCTGCCCCAGCCTCCCTCAGGGCTGGAATTACAGGTGTATACCACTATTTATTACTATTTAAATCTACCAAATAATAGTATTTATTAAATATCCTTAGATACCCTTCTTTTATCTGCCATTTTTTTCCTTTTGTTTTGGCTGCTTTGCGTTATATTTCACTGCTACCATATTCTATGATTTAGGCATCTAGTTCAGTTTAAGCACCATTTAATAGAGGGCACTGTATTGAAAAAAATCTTAAGAGAATAAAACTAAAGTGCACCTGAATAAAAATGGTAACAGGTGAAATGCTTATTTTTTTCCTAAATCCACAGATGTCCATTAATAACAATGGAGGAGGTGGATCTGAAAGAATCCAGGACGTATTAGGGGAAGTCTCTTGCGCGCCCCCCCCCCCCCGCAGTTATCAGGGATTGATCCCAGGGCCTCTGTACTGAGCTACATCCCTAGCAGTTGGGTTTATTTTTTTTGTTTGTTCAGTTGGTTTTGGTCTTGCTAAGTTGCCCAGGCTGGGCTTAGACTTAATGATTCTCTTGCCTCAGCCTCCTAGAATGCCAGGATTACAGGGTTGCACTATCACATCCAGCCAGTATATAAAATTTTGATGTTAGTAGCACAGTTTTTATTTGTTCTACTTTTTATTGTGAAAAATTTCAGATACGTACAGAGCGATAGTATAATGAAACCTTCACATACTTAGCCAGCTTTAATAATTCATGGCTAGTCTTTGATCTAATCCATCCCTAATTATTATATATGAAGCAAATTCCTATAATTCCATATGTACTTCAGAAACACAGTTTTATTTGGTTTGTTTTATAATGGTGAGTAGTCTTAAGTTAATGGATCATAAAATCTTAGAATTGGAAAATTCCTTAAGAGTTAGGAGTCTTAATTCAGCCTCTCAAGTCATTCTCAGCTCATTCAGATCTTCCCCTTCAGTTTCTTAAAAGGCATTTACTCTCTTCAGTTCATCAATTGTTTTTCTAAATGCCTGTTTTTAGCTCCTGGTTGCTTAACATAACTTCAAAATAAAACAGAATGTTGGCTTTCTATACAGTTTTACTGGTTAAAACAACTTACTTGTAATGTGTGCATTCTGTGTACCAATTTAAAGAAAGGGAATAGGGCTGGGGATTTAGCTCAGTGGTTCCGCCGCCTGCCTTGCAAGCACAAGGACCTGAGTTCGATTTCCGGTACCAAAAAAAAAAAGGAAATGGTTTTTTGTCTTTATGCCTATTACTCTATTTTGTTTTTAAAAATTTAACAGAAATGTTGATGTTTAATTTAGAGCACAGGTTAAAAGATTGAAATGTTTTAAATTTGAGAGAACCAGATAGAAATAGATTTTTCAGTTTATGGCATAATTTGTATGCTTTGTTATTTCTTTTTATCATCTTGCTTTTTAATTTTCATTCTTTTCCTTCCATTTTTCCTGGTCTCGAGCAATTCTTACCAGGGTGGACTAGAAGAAACAAAAGGGAACAGAACCTGTACTACTAATTAATTGTCCTAATGAAATATTTGGGATTGGATTGTGAATTTCTGTTCATGTATCTCTAGCCCTATTACTGATACACTAACGTAGTTATATGAAATAGGTATTCTGTATGCTTAACCTTTAAATTAAAAGTTAGCACTTTTGGTTATGTAAAATCATAGGTGTTTTGGAAAGTTCTATCAGTATATTATATTCAGCTTCATATTCTTAAGCAAATTCTTTACTTTGTTTTCTCCATTTTCTAGGAGGAAGATATCAACTAGAGATCAAAATACCAGAAACATATCCATTTAATCCCCCTAAGGTATTGTAAACCTATTTTGTGCATGAACTTTTAAAATATTTGATATTTAAAATTTTTTCCTATGTTTTGGCTCCCCTAATGTATATTTCAGTGCTTTTTAAAGTTATAGTTTTATGAATTTTCACTGTGTGTAAACTTAGTAAGACAAGAATTTAAGCAATGGCAAATTGCTTGCTTCTGAAATTAAAATGAAAAACAAACTTACTTAAAAGCAGCCAGTAAATAGCTCTATTTTGGTGTAGGATATTCATTTGATAATGACTCAAATACTAGGTCTGGGAAAACATGCAGTCTTCCCAGATTTAGAGAGTAAGGTTCTTAACTTGCCTCAAAGAAGTATGTGTAGAAAAAAAAAAGAAGTATGTATAGTAAGGAAGAGTGTATCCTACATTGATTCAAAAAATACTGTGTGCCAGTGAATATAGCGGCAAGATTTACACTATTTCTGGTGTCATGTAGCTCAAGCTCACATTGTAGGAGGACAAAAATAATGAGCAAGTTATGCAGCTGTAATGACTGTTGAGGAAATGGTCTCCCTCGAAGAGGACTGTGACTAATGGGACCTAAACTAAACTTTTTTGACTGAACCATTTTCTTTATGTCTCTGTATTAGTCACTACTTTAGTTTAGGCCTTTAACTTTATTACTTCTCTGTTGTTTCTGTTACTTAATTCACCCTACCACCTTTGCCATTCTCATTCTTCACACGCATAAATCTTTCTCAGGGACATTTTTGATCACTTTTTCTTTTTCTGTTAATAAAATCCAGATTCCTTAGGTTGGGATTTAAAACCTCCTACAACCTGACCTCAGTTTTCTTTTCCACCCTAATCTTCTTCCATCTCCACCCACAACATGGTCTCATTTTTAACCAATTTTAGTTGTATTCACCAGCATTTAATGTTTACTTTTTTTGTACAGCCTTCACCACTGTTTCTCTCCAGAACCTTTTCATCTTTTTTTTTTTTGTGCTGGGGATCAAGCTTGGGTCCTCGCGCTTGCGCAGCAGGCAGTGAAACCACTGAGCTAAATCCTGGCCCAACCTTTTCATTTTTAATTGCAACTGTCTGTTTAGCAGTATCACCTAATACCATTGCTCCTAGCTTTTTTTTGGTACCAGGGATTGAACTTGGGTCCTTGCGCTTGCGCAGCAGATGACGAAACCACTGAGCTAAATCCCGGGTCCGCTCCTAGCTTTTAATAAAACCACAGTTTTGTATTCTGTTTCTATGATTTAACTGTTCTGGGTACCTCATGTAAGTGGAATTACACAATATTTATTCTTTTGTGCCTGCCTTATTTCACTTAGAAGAATGTCAAAGTATATCCATGCATGTTAGAATTTCCTGCCTTTTAATGGCCGCACACATTTTATGTGTAGCTCACCTGCCTCACAAGCGCAAGGACCTGAGTTCGATCCCCAGTACCAAAAATAAACATTTTATGTGTAGCACATTTTGTTTGTGGATAGACATTTGGGGTTTTTCTGTTGTGTTGTTTTGTTTTGTTTTTGGTACCTGTGATCAAACTCAAGACCTTGCGCTTGCCAGGCAGGCTTGGTGCCACTGAACTAAATGCCTGGCCCTCTGTTTTAAAAACAGCACCTCACTGCATTGCCCAGGCTGGTCTCAAATTCCTTGGCTTAAGTGATATTCCTACCCCAGCCTTCTGGGAATTTATAGGTGCATGCCACTATGCCCAGCTTTTTTTTTTTTTTTTTGGTATTCCTTTCTTAATTTCTGCTATTGGAAAATTGTGGGTTTTTTTTTTAGTGAAAATACAGCAGGAAGAAAAAAGCTCTAGAGGAAAAGCAGTGTATTTTCACTATTAAGTAATTATAATGGCAACTGTCCCTGGTTTGTGCTGAGTGTTGTGTGTCTTTCTTGACACTATTTATTTTTTATTGTTGTTGCTTTTGCTTTGCTTTCCTGAAACCATATTTGTAACAGCTCTAATAAATGAGAGGAACTGAGTCTTGGTGGTTAAGTAGAACCTACGTTCTGTCAGGCTACACTGGCCAATGTGTTAAATTACTGGGCTATTCTTCCATCATTGTGGTAGAGGAGAGGATAAAGTCTTTGAAACTGTGAATCTGACTTGACCAAAACAATTAACTAGGGTTCAAATCTTGCTTCTTTGATTTAACTGGCTTTGATTTTAGGCATGTTTAGCTAATTTCTGTATGCTTTAGTTTCTCATGTTTTGTTTTTTGTTCTGAGACATTGTCTCACTTGTTTGTTTGAGACAGGTTCTCTATTTGCTTTTTTGTTTTGTTTTGTTTTTTGTTTTGGTACCAGGGATCGAACTAGGGACCTTGCGCTTGTGAGGCAGGCAGCGGAACTCATTTGTTTTTAAAATCCTCTCCTAAGACTATAAACATTAAAGGAGTTAACCCATGTAAAGAATTTATTGGAGCCGAGAGTGATGGTGCACACTTGTAGTCTCAGCAAGTTTGAAGTTAACCTGGGCTACTTAGTGAGTTCAAGGCCACACTGAACTACACAGTGAGACCTTCTCAAAAAAAAAAAACATT